TACACTTTTCATCAAAGTTTCTAAACTTTAGCCACATAGAGTGAAAAATCAAGAGTCATTTTGCTACCTCCACATAATTTTTCCTTTGTAAGCCTTGCAACTACTTGTTCTCAATGCTATCCTCTTCTGCCTGAACAAAAGAAGCAATTGTCCTACTTCTCTCTGCCTTCCCCTTAGAATTCCTCTTATCAGGTCTCAAACATCTGCTGAATTGTGTTAATTTTACTTAGCTTGAAGAAAAAGGTATTTGTAGATTATCATTGCTGGTGTACCAATTGAAATTCCTTTAAGGAAAACCCTGACATCTTGCTACATTTAGTTCTTTTGTAACTTACAAGATTTTTCTGCTATCACATCTTGTTTTGAAAACAGACACTGCTGAATTTAATGAGCAGTAAAACCAGATTTAATGTGTCATTAAACTGGTCTCTCTCTTCATTTCCATTTATTAAAGTCCCTCTTAATATCTTATTAGGTACTCCTTTCTTACATCTTCAGCTAAGCACTCAATCGACTTCAAAATGACAACAAAGACAATTCAGATGCCTCATCACTGAATATTAGTGTTATGCACAAACTGCATAAAGGCAAATAAAGCTGCAACTTCTTTTTCAAATCAGACAAAACTTTTTCAAATCAGACAAGTGTTTTACTCACTTGTCACTCCAGGCTCCATTCCATTCCACCTGGCCCCAGGGGTTTCTCAGCCTTACCAGACGTATTTTCTCCCCTTTAAATACTGTCTAATTGAAAAAAAGAAAGCAACAAGAATAGACGGAGGGTAGGTTCAAAAGGAAATGTTCTGCCTGTCACCACACCCGTCAGTGATGGTGCTTTTCTGGGCCATACCCCAGCCTGATCTTCTTGGGGTGACTGTGGGAAGGCTGTATGGCTGCCGAGCGTGGGGCCAGGCCAGTGGTGGCTGCAGCTGTGCACAGCTGGAGGGGAGCAGTGCACATACCTCTTCCACGGCTGTCACGGAGTAGGCATGGCCTTTGACGAGCCCGCAGGACATCCGTGTCTCGTACTGCATCGGCACTATGGTCTGTTAGACAGAGAGAAAAACCCTTGGGACTTGTGCAAAACTCAGCTGCCTGCTCCAGGACAGGAGCTTTCCGAGAGAGGGAGCCACCGTTCAGGTGACTGGATTGTTTGGCTTCTTCTCCTCTTTGTGTTTAAGGTGGTCAAGCTAAGTGCCCACAGAATTCATGTTGATAGTTAGGAAGGAGTGAAGCATGAACTGAAAATGGAAAAAGTTCCTAATATCCATTGAAAAGGACATTTTCTGGTGTCTTTTTCGCTTTTTTGAAGGCTATGGCTTTTTGCACTTGGAACATAGCGGGATATAGCATGCTTAATCAAATAATTTGCTTTTTGTATTAGAAGGACTATTCAGCCTTTTCTAGGATAGTATGTTCCTGTATAGCTTAGTAAGGTTATTACAGGTTATTATGAACTGGTTAAACATCAGGGCAAATCAACACCTAGAATACTTTCATCTTTCCACATGGCAGCTATCTTATCACAATGACATTTAAACACCCATTTAATACACCGTTCCTGCTAACTGACACTCTTTTATTGCATCTAACTTTCAGAAAGGGCGTAACTGGGTCGTTCAGGTGTAAATACATTTGTTGTCTTAGTCATCAGCTTTCAGTGTGTCTGATGGATTTTTACTGGTTTATCTGTGAGATTTGGAATTGGGAGCAAGATGGCAGATGCACACAGCCTGCTGTACTTGTACAGGGATCTCCAGTATCAGTGAGAGGGGCAGATCCTGCCATGTGCACGTGGACCATGAGCAAAACTTCCCCTCCTTCTTTGTGTCTGTTACTGAGATGCCTGTAAGGTCCTCTCAGTAACTCTGCCACCCCTTCTTGACACATCTGATGGCATGAAAAAGGCAGGGCTGGATCCTGGGGGTGAATTAGTAAAGTCACACAGAAATGTTCTCAGCTTGCACAGGGAGGATCTCATCCAAATATTTCCTGGATGTTGCAACTATTTTCCATTATTTCACTTCAGCACCTACTTGGTTTCATTTCCCTTGATTCTGTTTTCATACTATAACGTCACACTTTTTTCTTAATTTCTTCTCGTTGTTTCCATCATTACTTGACAGAACCCCTTTCTCTTCTTTCTGTTTAAGAACATTAACTCCTGGTGCCCTGGACTACATCTCAAAGTGCAGTTCTGGAAGTGTTTCACCTGCCTCTTTCTATCAGGAGTCCTGATTTTTTTCCTGGTGATGGTTGAGGAATGTGCAATAACCAACAGCTGCTGGGGCAACAAGTATAGGAAGAGTTTTGAAATCTTTTAGTAGACAGTCACCAAAGAGGAAATTCTCCCCCCAAACATGGGTGGTTTGGGCAGCTATGCTTGCAAAAAAAAGGTAGTCATACTGGTCTTTCCCAAGAATGACACCATTTCAGTCTTTTAGAAAGAACTAAATATGGTTGTCAGAAGAGGAAAAAAAATCAGCTATTTTAGCTGCAAAGGCAGAAGAAAGTTTGCACAACCAAAAGTTTTGAGTGATGTAATTGTGGAGGATTTTTCTTTGTTTTTTTGGTTTGTTTTTTTTTTGTTGTTGTTGTTTTGTTTTGTTTGTTTGTTTGTTTTTTCCCACCCTTCCCCACACCCCTGTAAAAGAAGAGATATAATTTTATCGTCATGGAAATGCAGCTCCCTAAATGGCAAGGTATGACAACTGCCTGACACAGGGGAGGTAGCAAAGTGTCCCTCTACAGATTTGGAAGCTTCTAAGTTGTCCAGTATGGTATTTTTTCTTACAGGGTTTTAACACCCCTCTTTATATTTTGCTAGATACTGAGGTGGATATGCTGGAGTTACTTTGTATTTCATCACACATGTAACTCCACATGTTTTTCCTTTTCCTTGTTAGGCATTTTTAATGAGGACTTTGTTGGCAGTAATCAAAAAGGAGCATCCCTAGAGCAGACTCTCCTCCATTAAAGGGTAGAGCATCGTCTCAAAATAAGTTCACAAAGAGCTTTTTTGCCTGGACCGAGAGCTATGCAGAGCTTGCTTTTTCCTTCTTTGACATTCCATGCACACTCAAGGATCTTGTTCTATTCTAGTATTTTAATTTTTTCCTTCTCTCCACCCTATTCAAGCAAGAGACTTGATAAAATCCACTAATTTCCACTAAATTTCTTGTTCTGCAAATAATAAACCTGTGTCACAAGCCAGCAGCCCTTTAAAGCCTCAGTATCAGTGAAGCCCTCTAGCATCAGCCACTGCGTTGGAAAGAACTCAAGTCTTTTAACACACATGTAAAATAGCATCCATAAGAATATTTCATTAGCGTTATTCTGTGAAACCAATTAAGGATTTAAAAGCATAGGTGATATGTTTCTCTAACTGTTTTTAAATAAAAGCATTCTGAAGTCAACTGCTTAGGACACATACCCAGGCTGGCCTCTCCTCCATCCCCTGGTAGTCTACAGTGGACTGAGTCATCTGTGCATTTTCTTGATTCTTCACCATGCGAGCAATCAGTTCTCCAATGCTGCTTCCAGGAGCTGATCCATAGGAAAATCCTAGGTCATCCTGGCACAGAGAACGGGAGAAGAGTATCATGGCGTGGTAAAAATTAGCCTAGAATACTTTTCTTTTCCCTCATTACGTCCATACTTATCTACAGTGGTCAATAGCAGTGCTTGTTCTTCCACCTTTACTGAAATATGGTAATCCATATAGTATTAATTTTTTTACTTTTAAATTTACCACAATAAGACAGTCTGAAGCCATGTTGACAATAAAATGTTAATGTACACACTTAACATCTTTGACATGAAGATTTGTGTCTTAACAGAATTGCAGCATCCTCATACTAACCTCATTTCACTGGGTTAGGGTCTTGAGGGGGAAGGGGTGCTGGTTTTGCTGATTGCACCTGTTCTTTCCACCTCTGTGTTCTGCTTCTGTTTATTTCCCTTTTGGTACTCCCTGTTGGTGAGTAATGGCTGGTCTCTAGGGGGGATTACTCCATCTCCTAGAAATGGATGTTTTGTGTGTGGCCTAAACCAAGCAGTTCCAAAAGTGGTACATATTTGGGTAAGAATGGAGAGGTCCCTCTCCTCTGCCCTTTCTTATCTGCAAAGTTCATATGGACTCACATCAATGGAACTGGCCATGAGGGAACCTCTGTCAATGGCATGTTTCATGATTTTATAGATATCTTTAGGGGCATCCTTTATCTCGTAGAACTCTGTGACTCCTCCGGTGAAGTCCTCCATGGCTTCAGTGGTGTTGCCTCCCTTCAAAGCTTCATATGACCCATGGAGTCTTGAAAAGAGAAAAGTAAAAGATTCTTTGACACAGGTATAGATATCTACCTATATATTTATATCCATCTTGTGTGTGTATAATTACAGCTATGTAAACACACATACTAAAAACCCTCAAACCATCTGTCTGCTAACACACAAGTTAAAAGTTCTAAAACATGCCACCTCTGCACATAGAAAAGAAAGAAAGATATGCTTAAAATCAAATGTAGACTTCTGAATGAGTAGCAAAACTTCCTAGAAAATACAGTTTAACCCATCCCCATCTCCAAGGCATGGGAAAAGGCATTGGCATATTCAGGGGTATTCTCTGTGTGCTTCTAAAGGCTGTATGCAGTGGTTTAAGCACCGTCCCAGGCAGAGCCCTGCTGGGGAGCCCGGCACAGCCCGCGGTTCGCTTTACTTTGCATAGGCCTTTTCCAGGAGGGCGCTCCAGAACTCGTTGCGCTGGGAGGACTTGGTGAAGACCAGCTGGTTGTTGTAGGTGGGTAAGCAGTCATCGATGACGACATCCACCCAGTCTCCATAGCGCCAGAACTGCTCAAATGCAAACAGGAAAAAACCAAAACTGGATTGACTTGGTGCAGGGAGTGGGGAAGCCTGGCTGAAAAGTCAGGGTGAGAGAGGAGAAATGTGGAAATCAACTGCTTTGAAATGTGGCCAAAACTGATGGCTACTGTGAGGAAGGCAGCTGCACTGAATGCGCCTGGGAAAAAAGGTTCTTTAAGAGAACCAAAGGAAATGTGAAAGCAGTCAATCTTTTCCAAATATGAAGTTCTTCGATAATTTGTTATAACAGACCAGCTATTTGTAGGCCTAAAAATAGCTGCTCTTGCCAAGTACCCGCATGTCTGTGCTGGCTGTAGTGCTGCATCTGAGCAGCGAGGCAGGACCAGGCACCTGTTGTTGTTCCTCACACCCAGGACACCACAATCTGCAAATGCTCCCTTGGTGGGTTAGTGCTCCCTAATTGCTTTCATTGGCTGTCCCTTCTGTGACTGCCCTGATGGACGAGTTGGTGGTGAGGCAATTCAATCCCTTTTCCTCCCTGCCGTCACTTAGGCTTCCAAAGGGTGGAGAAAAGCGGGAAGAGCGTGCCAAGAGCTGAGCCTTGAGTAAAGTAAATGCTTACCACTAGACGGAGCGACTCACCTGGAAGTGAAAGATACCAGCATAGTTTTGTATGAAGGACTGGTCATGAGGTATGACTCTACAGAGTAGTTTTTTATTCAGTGTCAGGCAAGCAATGGCAGCCAGAAACCAGCAGTTACCTGTAAATGAGCAGAAGCAGCAGATAAAATGGAGAGTGCAACTAGAATCAAAGGGAAAACCTGAGATATTGCAAAGTGACGTGTTGACTCTCAGTAGAGCATGAGTCTCCATGTGTTCTGCAGTACTTTAGCACTTTATCTATTTGTGCTCTAGAAATGCTCATGGGCATTGTTCATGGCTGGGTGTACAAATAGGATAAACAGATGATATTCCCTGTACTTTAGAAAAAGCTTAAAATCTGTTGAGCACTGTTACCTGCATTAAGAATTCCCTGTGTCATGTGAATCTTTCACTAAAAGTTCTTGCCTAGATTGCTTCTGAACAGATCTCAACAATTTGCTACAGAACAAAGGAATCACTGAGACAGAAGATTTCAGATGCCACCTTGGAAAAACAGAAAACTGGGAGCTAAACTATGATGCAGATTTTTAAAAGTGCAGAGTTGAAGTAAGAATTTCATACCTAATTCTCCTTGGCAGATATCTGTTCTGTTGGCTCCACCAATAATAAACCGTGGATTTTCACAGATTTCCTGCAAGACAGAAATGGATGACCAGGAATAGCATGCATTATGATGCCTGTTTAGCACAGAAGTAAAGGCAGTTTTAGAACATTTTCCTATACGATAACTTGTGGTATCAAAACCTCTCTCCCAGTTTTCATCTGTAGAGCTTCACTATGAAAAAGTTTTGGAATCTGGATGTTCCAGAGTTTTCCCCATGCATCTACAGGGTATCAATAGCTCAGTATTGATCCTGGAGTGCTCCCTCTGTATTGGAATGTGAAGACACATTGAAATGAAAAGAATTGGGGAAAACATTTTTTCCACACAGTAATGAAAAAACCAAACATTGAAGGCAAGAGGAGAGCAAGCAGATGAAAAAACCATCAGGAGACCAGGCTAAATTATTTTAAAATTATCTTATGTCCACCTTACATATGCTGGGGCATTAAAAGGGTTGAAGAATGCATTTCATTGGTAATGAACCCCACCATTACTCATTCTTAAAATTAAAGGATCAGATGTTTAATTACCAGAAATAATCAGTTGCTGGTTAAGAGATGTTATTATTTTCCTCATGTGGCAGTATTTAATTGACAATGCTGCATTCAAAAATGTGTACAGATACCACCTCTGTCTCTGAGGACAGGTCTTTTGTCTTGCACATTGCACAATGTATTGGGTTTGTCAGTATTTGTACTAGAACAGAAGGGGTGCAAGATGCTGTACAGGCATAAACAATTAAGACATTTCTTCAGGGAGGGAAGGCAAAATGCAGCGAGGTGGGACAATTGCAGGCTTACATAGCCCTTTTCTATAATGGATAATGACTGTAGTATAGAGGAAAACCAAGGAAAGCAGTGCCTATAACCTGTCCTACAGAGTAAAAAATGTACCTGCTTTATCCCATCTGTCATACTCAAATACTTGATATGGAGAAGAATAAGAAGACACAAGTTTCAGATGCATCTCTTGTGAGGGTAAGGAAAGAAAGATATTGCAACCTGAGGAGCACTGTCCTGAGCAGCTGTAAACTGGGAAGAAGACAAAGTATAGTCCAAGAGCCCAATCAGTTGAAAGATATTGGGACTAGAGTGGGAAGGGGACAGAACAGACAACTGACAATTGCTTGTGTGGCAGCACACATGGGCAGCTGAATTACCTCTATAGTCTAAAGCTTTTTACTCATATCATCAGGGTAGCTCTGGACTTTCCCAGACTCATGTTTCAGGTCTAGTAGTTTCACTTGGTTCAAAGCCACTGTTTGCTCCTTCACAGTTATCAGAAGAGTTGTTTTGATGTAGGTATTTGGATTTGTCATATAGCCAGACAGAGAGACCAACTTCTGCCACCCTCCCTACCACCAACCCTTGCAGGCACTTTCTTTTCCTTGAGGGAAGGAATGTAGGGATTGTCCTGTTATTTTGGGCCTTGGTCAGCTGTTCAGGTCCTGTTCTGTCAAAGCAGATGTTTGAGATGCCTTCATGCTTTTCTCCACTCACTTGCTTTGTTTAAAATATTCTTCCTCACATTGCTGTGGTGATCTGCTAGCACAGTCTAGCACAGTCACTAATCTGAGATGCCAGGTTTTTGGTTTGTGTTTTTTCCAACTCTATTATTGTATTTTGGATCGATTTTGCTCTTCTTGTAACTAGCTTTGAAATCCAGCATGCTGTGTTTTAGTTGAAAGTAGTCAGGTGCCACCTAGGTGTTTCCAAATATTAAATGTACAACAATGTGTTACTCAGAGCCATTTATTGCATCTTGGGGTCATTTGTTTTGTAGGATGCTTGGTAAAGGCATGGAGAGAATCATGCAATTGTCATATGACCTGGTTTAGCTATGACAGAAATGTTTTTCTTGCATTTCTTTATGGGGATCAGGTGTGTATAGCACACTGTGGATATTATTTTAATTTCTATTTCCCTAGTTCATCTCCAGCTGTGCTAGTTCTGCTGACTGCAGCTGAAGTTGCAGAGAAAGGTATCAAGATCTTCCAAGGCTGAAGTACTCAGTCAACAGAGTGAGATGAACTGGTGTCCAAGATGCAGGTGGTAGGTCTGTCCTTCCAGTCTTCCTGGCTGAGCAAGGGATTGCTCTTTATCTCCTAGGTCAAGTTATCACCGAGAATCCCAAAAGGCTGCACTTCATTGAGGCAATGATCCATCTTTTAAAAGAGCCTTCTCTGATCTGATTCTCTCAGACTGCCTTGGAACTATCCAAAGGATCTTTGTGTTGCACTGGGTTGATCCAGTTCAGACTGCAATTTCATTACAAAGAGTCAGTTACAGCAGGGAAAACAAAGAATCCCAGGAAAAAACCTAGTGGTGGTGCATGCTGCTTTCTGGGAAGAGATTACTTATGAGTCAGTTGGAAGGGAGCACTGGAAAATGCAAAGGCAGCATGCAACTAAAAATGGCATTTGACCTTTGTTATATTTTCATGAGCTTTTCTTCTGTATCAGGAAGAAATCTTCCAGTCAGCTTATACTGCTGCAGGCATTCATTCCTTTAAAAACTGCTGTTAATAAACTATGGCATTCGAAGTAAATTCCCTAATTTGATCCTATCAAAGAGAGGAAGGATCTTTTTCCGCCTAAGACAATTTGTAGCCTCATTGTCTCTTGGTCTCTTGTGGTCTAGACCATGCTTTTAAATAGCTGTGCTGCACACTTCAAGGCACAGCTCAGTGTCAGACACCAAGCTGGTTTTAGAGATTCTGAGCTGGATTATCTTCATCTGAAAGTTCTATCTTGGTGGCACTAACTGCCATCTTTGCTTTGTGGCATGACCTGCACAGGCCCACATTTTGTGATTACTAAATTCCAACAGCTTCACCTGTGTGCGGTAGATGATCTGACTGATTAATTTTCATTCCAAGCAAAATCCAATAGTTTGTTGACTTGATTTTATATGTATTCATTATTAAAAGAGCTTCTTCTGGTGATTTTCTGGCTATGGAGAGGCTCACCATAGGGAAGTCATTGAATTTGGTGGGTAGTGCTGTGACTTGGCTGCGAGGAAGGAGAATGACAGTGATGCATTTGAAAGCACAATGTCACAGTAGAGCCTGCCTATGAATACGCTGGTGTCATTAGATCCAAACAGGACTGCAGCAGGACCTCTTAATATTCCCTGTTACGTTAAAACAGACTTTTTCTCAGCTCTCAAAGATCAGTGGCCTCATCCTTGCTCTCAGCTGTGAGAAATTCCCGCAAGCAGCATAGCTGTGAGAGGCACAGCAAGTCAATGAGCTGGATATAACCTTTTGCAGGTGTAAACTGCTCTTTGGGCTTCTTTAACCTTCTGTGGGCGAGTGATTAATTTAATATTTTGCATTAACTGAGGGAGACTTAATTTTCCCTCTATGTATCCAAACCATGGTCGTGCATACTCTGAAAAGAAACACTGGAGGGATGGATCCTGCAGTCTTTACTCAGGGAAACTTTCAGAGCTCTCACTTGGCTTTTGTCCAAATTGAGTATTAGGAGGTCTCCTCTGTGCATTCATGTCGTGGCATGGCAGTCACCAGCTGGGTAGAATTACAAGGGCCTTTTTGCTGCCCCCCTGCCAGGGCTGCCAGCTGCCCTGCACGGCACCTGTCCTTCTGTGGGTAAGGGACAAGGCCAGTCCTCATGCATTCTCTACCTCGCAGCAGGAGAGGACAAGCTTTTTGGGAGGTGGCAGGGGAGGACCTGACCTCTGGGTAAAGGGGCTTCGATACAAATTGATGAGTTGACACAACTAAGGTGACTCAGGATGTCAAAGAGTTGGGAATAGGTTGTGCATTTCCCAGCCCTCTATTTTAAGTGGGATGATAGAGCACATTGATCACTTGTTTATTTGCTGTATCTGGAGGTATGTGGCACATAAAATGCCACAAAGAAAGATCTAGACTGGTCAGCATTAGGATATTCTCTCAGGACTTCTGAACTCTGAGGTTTTTGGGGTTTTTTTCTTTTAGAGTAAATTATCAAGTTTTTTTCTATTACTGACCTGAATTCCAAAGTAATTAAAATTACCACTTTATATTTTATAAGCTAGTTTCTTTCTTTGGGGGGTAAAAAAAAGCCATGGCAATTAACAAGAACAGAAGTTGTCCGTATTTTTACAGACTATTACAAAACACAGCCTGTGCAATTGAGTTTATGTGGTGCTTCAATGATTGCTTTAACCTGTTAGCAAAATATTCTTTAGCCCAGTATTATTCCTTCATATTAATTTGATTTTATAAATCTTGGCTTGTGTCAAAAAAAGAACAGATAGCTTTGGGTTTGAAATTTACATTGTATTTTAAGTCTTACAGGTCCCCAGCCTGTGGCTGCTACATGAATAATAAGTCCAAAGTTACATATTTATGACTGACTTAAATAAGTCTTTGGAATTAAGATCCTGGTCTGAACTTTTCCAATAAGAAAGGCTTGATTTGTGCCTGCACAGTTATATAAAACAAGTCTGAGGTTATATTGTGCATTTCTTTTCTTTTGATGCTTTCTAATGTGCCACTTGCAGTGTGTCTGCTGCAGGGTGCTGACACTCATGCACTGTACTGCTAAATTGCTTCCCTCTGAAGAAAGAGGGGAAATCCCATCCCTTTACATGACTGACTTTGGGCTGCATTTAAGTTATTCATACACTTTTCCAGAGGCTGATGCAGCCATGGGGATGATGAAGGAATGACAGGGCACAAGTGCACAGGGCACAGCAGATGGGGGACTCATTTTGATCCCTCCACATTGCTCAAGCTGTTATTGTGACAGAAGCACGTGGCCTTCCTCCAGGTCTGTAAGAGCCACCCACAAGAGCTCGTGTTCTTTTGCTATTCAGTTACACTCCTGTGGTCAGTCTTATCTATTACCACTGACTTTGCCACCGAAACACAGGTTTGGGTGCAGGGGAAGTATGGCAAATATAAAAGAGGTGGCCAAAAACTGCCAGAGAGAAGGAGCTGTGGAGGCTCCTCAGAACAACACCCCCACAGCAGGGGCCAAGACACTGCTCTACGGGCTGCCTTGCTGCAGGGGAGCAGCTGCCCAGCAGATATAACAGGGAAAAAGTGTAACTCCTCCTGAAGTAGGAGGGAGAATCAACTGGGAACTCAGCTATTAGTCTTCTGCCAGTGAGAGAGACGGAGAAAAAAAGATGAAAAAGAAAAGGTAGGCTGCCTGAGGAATTCCCATAAAATAGGAGAATGAATGGGATTACTAGCCAAAATGGGTCTTCATAGCGATTAGAATACCCATGTTTATGGTAAGTGGGATAAGCAATCCCACAACTGATTAAAAGCATGTTTCAGACCATAAAACATCTTTTCATTTTCACACATGAGAAAAATGGCAGAATACCAAAATAAAGGTGTAAGTGAAACAGGGTAGTGTTAAAGAAATTAAGCCTCAGCAAATCCAGTAACTTGTTGCAGAATGGGGGGAGTTTTTCTTTAGTAGTTTCAGACCAGAAAATCCCAGGCAAACCATGCAAGAAGAAAATTAAATTCCCCGTATCTCTTTCTAAGTATTTAATTCAATCTCTTTTGTTGTTGTTGTTTCATTACGTTTTATTGTGTTTTAGTCATTATATACATATTGCCTAACCTTTCGCAGCCCTGGATTGTTATCTTCCAGGAGAGCTCTAAGGAAACGTATTTCCAGTTTATTCCACCTGCCTCTCCAGCACACAATTTCTGCAAAAATGTAAGCTCGGGGTGTATACTTCAATTGACAGAAAAAGGCAATCAGCAAACATGTTACTTACACGTGGTCTTTTCCATTCAAACTTGACGGGGCTTTTCTGGCTGTAGAAAAGTGACGACTCATTTGGTGGGAAATCGGGATCTTCATAGAGAACATTTTTCTCCAGGCACTTCCTGTGAAGCTCTTCATAGGTCTTCTCCTTGATGCTGATAATGGGCTGATTGCGACTAATAATGGCAGAATAAATCCCCCCTGTGCCCCCTCCTGCTCCCTCCGTAGTGCCAATGGTGGCACTGGGGACTGACCCAGCAGCTGTTTGCTGAGCCACCGCTGCATTTATGGCAGTCGGCATGGGAATCAGGCTTGCAGCAAATGCTGAAAGATAGCAGGATTCTGCAAACTGGAAGGAAATTTCAGAGAAGAGGAAGTTGCTGTGCAAACTGTCTTTTCTGTCTGTTGAAAGCCTTCTAGTCAAATTTGCAAGCCAGAAAATTCCATGTGGTTTCGCATCCTCTTAAAGGACAGTATTTTGTCATCAGAAATTGCAATTTGTTCCTTGATGTGGGACAAGATGATTAGTTGGCTCTGTCCCGTATCCAAGTTGTATCCACAGCGTGTGTGTGTGCTGTCCTGTGCGTGTGAGCGTCCAGAAGGGACAAGCTTTAACCATGAAATCTAAAAATAACTACAGGCAAAGAGAGAGGGAAAATGAGAGGCATGAGTGAGAAGGTGTCAGTCTTCTGTGCAGCTTGTGCTGAGGCCAGGCATGTTCCAGGGACGGGCTCTGTGTGTGGGCTGACTCCTGGTGCAAGCAGTTCATCTTTTCCTTAAGCAGAGGGAACAGTGGAACTGGAAGCTTAACTGCTGGCTTGGGAACCTTATGTACCTAAAAGAGCTGTTGTGCTTGACTTGTTTCTACCCTTTGTGGCAGAAAAGATATAGACAAATTTTTACTACTAAAGAAGATGATCAGAAGATGTTTCTAATAGTGAAAAAGGTGCTATTTGATGCTACTGAGGTCAGGTCAATACTTGCCAGGTGGGTTTGTTCCCTCTGGACAGCAGCTTGGCAACACTAAGATTCACTTTGTAATAGCTACTTCCCATGAAAAAAGCAACATTTTGTGTAGGGACTGAAAAATTTATAGAGCCTAGTATGGAAACTGAACCACTCTGTGTGTGTTAAGATATACCAAAGTTAAAGGAAACATCTGAGTCTGCATGTGTATTTTTTCACACAACAATGGCATAAGGGACAAATTCATAGCCTCTGTGACTGAAAATCTAAACACATTTGCTCTTCTCTGTAACCCAATTCTTTAAAAGGTGACAATATTTATACGTCAAGAAAAGCCCTGTAATACCTTCATTTTTTTTTTTATTGGGAAGTCTTCAATCACAGGTTGACATCGATTTTATTTTTGCCAAATGATGCTTATTTCTGGCTCACATATGCTGACCTTCTGGCCTAGGGCTATGGCATTTTCCAAAGCACTAATTTTTTTTTTTTTTTTTTTTTTTTTCTCAGCTATTTGCTCAGTTTACACACTTAAAATAAACACTAAAGTGAACTAACTCTACAGCTCATTAAAGGAAACTTCTCTGGAGAAACTTTTAAAGAAGGTAATATATAGTTGGCAAACTTGCCTAATCTTTAGGAATATTAATCATCAGTCTTTTAGGCCATTTAGGTGGCCTAAATCCTTTTCTTTTTATCATGAATTCAAACCTTCTTGCACCAACAGGGCAATTGAAAAAGACATATTCAAGCAGCTGTGAAAATAGGAATGCAATTGCTTTAGGGTGGGTTCTTCAGATGCAGAATTGATGACTTCCTCATTACATTTAGATGCAAGGATTGCATCTTGACACTACATTGGAGGACAGCTTGGCAGAGCCACGTGTTACTCTTTGCAGGATACTCAAATAGTGAGATGCAAGGGCTTTTCACTGCACAGCTCAGCACAGTGCTCATCTGGCAGCCTGTGCATGTGTTTTTTCCTTCATATTCTCCTTTTTTTCCCAGTATACCAATGCACCTCTTCCATACAGAGCTCAGTTTATGGAAGAATTGTAGGGGTATGGCATTTGAGAAACTCTTTGTGGGCTGCTGGGGAGGATCATGTGAATGATTAGCAGTGGGTTTTTGTTTTTTTTTATTGGCACGGTCAGCAAGCCTGCTGCTACTGCTAGAGCTAACAGATCATCAGCCAGTGCCTGCATATGGAATGGCAGGAGGACATGCACTTCTCACTCCTACGCCAATGTTGTTATTTAGGTATGTTCAAGAGTTACACCTGTTTAAAATGCAATCTCTCCTTTTCTTGTTTCTTACTGGACAGATGGTTTGTTATGTAGGTTTCTGATCTTTTTTACAGGAATTACTAGTAAAAGACAAATGGTATCTTTAAATAAATACAATTTTCCATAGAGGAGAATGGATGTGCTGTCTAACACAAACAGCAAAACAAATTCTCAGGAATTAAATCCTGTATATGATGGAATTTACTGCAAGCAGATGTACCCAAATAGCTGACCTGTTCAGACAGTAACAATGAAATAATCTTTATTAAACTAATCTAAAATGTTAATATTGCTATTTAATTTGTATGAAGTTTTCTCTCCAGTTGTTTTCACTAATTGAACTAAATTATTCCTTTTGTAAAGATACACTAAAAAATTATTTCTTCATTTATGGCATAAATATGTGGAAAAATATGTGAGTTACTACAAACAGCAATGTAAACCATATCTGAAATTTATCAGGTCTAAAGACACAACTGCTAAGATTTTCAGTAACTAATTGCTACTGAGATCCATAGACATTAGGAACTTCTTACCACTGAAAATTTGAACTATGAGTATTTACTATGATTCAGATATCTTGCTGAGGGCCAGAGAATAAAAGCAAGTCGTTCACTTTAACCAGAAACCCTTGGAAGAATACTTACTAGTGATTCTTAACAGTAGAAAGAAGGCTGAAAGGAAAAAGGCATGTGACTTGCTTCATTATTACTTTATTTCACTTTCCAATCTTAGAAATAGCAGTGAAAATATTTTATTAAATTTCCCAAGACAATAACTACATGCTGTCAGAATCACTGCTATGCTTAAACACAGTAAGAATTCATCAATGAAAGGTTAGAAGTTGATAGAAAAATAGGGTCTGTCTCTGTTTTCACAGATGTAAAAGATCTATTTGCTGCTGTTCTACCTGGATTAACATGTTTGCACTAAGCACAACAGTATTTATGCTGCCAGTTCCTGGAGGGGAGGCTCACACTGTCTCCTGGAAGGTGCTGACAAATAGCTCAGAAGAATAAAAAAGAAGGAAGCTAAGGGTCTGGTGTGGAAGAAACTACACTTGAGTAGTTAAGAGCAGAGTACTCACAGTTTGCTCTCACACTTGCTATTCCCAGAAATCTGCCTTGCAGAGGACAAACAGCAGCAGGTGGGAATGACAGAGGGGATTAGTAATATTACGTTGCCTTTACCTGTCAAAAATCCTTCTCTGTTTCCTACAAGTTAATATACTGATGTTTTTAGAAAATACCTTCTTATCTTACTAAAAGAAATTAAATGAACTAGAAATCCAGAAAAACCAGAGACCCAACTGATGGGTCTGATGTTCAGGTTTGACTCAAAGCAGAACTGGTTTCAAAATAATATAGGTGACAAGTGCAGCAAATGGAAAGGGTAAACAAACCCTGTGGAGCAATGGCAGCCTGTGAAAAGAGATGCCTAATACAGAAAAGCCTGAGGGAACAGGCAGGATGTAATGGATGTTGGGACCCAGGATGTCTCTGTTTTGCAAGCCAAGCAAGCATCAGAACACACCAGTTCTGATTGCAGAGATGGTGGGAAAAGAAGGCAAGGGAACATTAGGCTGAGTTGTAACAGAAGGGAGAAATAACCATAAAGTGGGATTTCTGAATGCAGAATTAATCCCATTAAAATCAAAATTTGCTTCGTAAATGCCTAGCTCAAATCTCAGCCAGATACTAAAAAATGACATGACTAAAATTTATGTAAAGGAAGCCAAAATATGGCAGGACTTGGAAGATGTGGAAAAGCATAGCTCCTTCACTGGGCTGGCTTTAATCAATGACATCCAATCATCAATACCAATTCTTTCCTAACATAAAACTTTTTTTTTAAGTAGTACTTGCAGACGGAGGGGAGCAGTAACATGGAAAATGTTTTTGTGTGAGTATAGCTGCTATCCTAAGCCAGTACTGCACCTATGAAGATCTGTGCCTTTTTGAAATCCAAGTTTCAAAGCTGGCTGTTAGGAAGTCTTCTGCACCACCACATTACTGTCTTCTACTATTGCACAATTGACTGGCACAAGCTACCCAACCCTCACCTCCAGTGCCTGAGCTGTTTGGTGAGCCTGCTGTTTACTTTCCTGTGCAGACCAGCTAATTTTGCATTGTCATAAGGGCTGGAAAGCAGAAGAGTTTCTGATCACACTGGCTGGCTCCTTCTGTGTTTGTTTTCAGAAGGCAGCTGTCAGGCAGAACTCTAGTGATAACCTCTGTGTCTGTCATATCTGCTGATGCTGCTTGTTGAACTGGCCCAGATCTCAAGTGCTCCAGTCTCTGAATAGTGGGATTTTCAAATACTTACATGAAGGCCTGTGCCAACAAGCCACAGTCTCACCCCATCAACTCATAATTTTTTATTGCAAGTGAAGGCAGAACTGAAACTTAAAGCCTAACTGAAGCTAGCCTAATGCAAATAGTATTTAGCTTATTTCCCCAAAGAGACAATCCTAGTGCTATTACTTTTGCTGAACAGAAAAATTATCCAAGTCCAAATTAGTGCTTTAAAAGAAAAATTGTAAGAAGTGTTAGTTTGGGTGGGTTGGTGGAAAATATATTTGTTGATTCAACTGGATTCAAGTGCACATCTGAAGTTCTCCCAGTTTATTTCTCCTCAGCATCTCAATGAAAGGTTTCTCTGCAGAAGTTGCATCTTCTTTCAGCTAATACAGATCTCCCAGTCAGCATCAACACTCAGGGCTATGTTTTCCAGTGTCAGCACAGAGGTCTTCGTATCATATGTGAAAACCACTTCTGTTTTTTTCCCATCTGAACAGGACAAGAGAGTTTGCTATTTAATTTAGGAAGAATCCTTCTGAAACACAGTTATATGTGACCCTACAGTTTTTAGTTCTGACTGTCCCTGCCACTGGTGGAAAGGTTTGATTAAAAAACAAATGTAAGTCAAATCTTCCCAGCACACACATATGAATGCAGTGGAATAAGAAAGTAACTATTTTCTTCTGATCTTTCAAACTATGGTACATCAAACTATGGAACTACTCAAGGATTTTTCTGAAAAAAATAACCCTGGTTTCTGCACAGGTGTTCCTCCAAGCACCCTTGACAGGTGGAGGCAGAAAGTCCATTTCCCCATGACTCTCAATGTGAAGTGGCATGTTTGGAAAGCAGCCATAAATCATAAGTCCTTGTTGTAGCTGCTACTGCCTATCCATATGGGATACCTCGCAACTTCTAGAGATCCCCATATAGTCAGGAACTCCAGAACTTTTGGATGGGCATGGAAACAGAAGAATAAATATGGTTTTGTCTTCAAGTTCCCTGTTCTAGACTAGGCAGGTTGACAGACTGAGTAAATAGGCCTTCAATTTAAATGCCATCTCTGCTCATGTTCTGTGCAGGACAATGTCGTCTGAACACGTTCGTTCCAAACCACTTTTACTGACACATTTATCATCTTTCAAAGTCTAGTTCTTCAGTTCTGCATGTAATATTAGTGGTGAATAGTTGCTGGTTCCTTTCACTAAATTCTGTCCTTGATATAAAAAAAAAATGTAGCAAAGGAAACTA